GAGAGCACGCCAGCCCGAGCAGGGCACAGGGCAGAGGGAAAGCATCTCAAGCAGACCCCCTGCTGAGCTCAGAGCCCCATTGGGGCTCGATCTCACAACCCTGAGATCATGACCTGAGTCGAAATCAAGAGTCAGTAGCTTAAATGGCTGAGCCACCCAGGCGCCCCAGGAATAAAAGCAAGAGAGTTTTTAAAATCTTGCATCTCCAACAAGCAGGAGGACGATATATTAGTTTCTGTTGCTGCTTTCACAAGTTACCACAAACTTAGTGGTGTAAATTAACACAAACTTATAGTTCTGTGGGTCACAAGTCCAACATGTGTCTCATTGGACTAAAATCAAGGTGTTGGCAAGTCTGTGCTCCCTTCTGGAGGATTTAGAGGAGAATCCATTTCTTTCCCTTTCTCAGCTTCTAAAGGCCGCCTACATTCCTTAGCTCAGAGTCTCCCTCCTCCCTCTTCAAAGCCAGCAACAGGTGCATCTCTGACCATTTTTCCATAGGCACATCTCCCTCTGACTGCACTGGGGGAAGTTCTCCAATTTAAAGACACATGTGATTTTAGGTCCCAGGTATCTCTTGTCAACGTCCTTAATTTAATTACATCTGCAAAGTCCCTCTTGCCATATAAAGTAACATATTTGCAGGTTCTAATACTTAGGACATGAATATCTTTGGGGGAGGCATTATTCTGTCTACCACAGAAGAATTGTTTAAAGAGGAAGATACAGAACAAATACTATGCTTATATAGTTAAGTACTATATATGCCACATAAGCAAACTGTTGTTCTGAGGGCCCATTAGAATATTTCATTTAAAACTTTTTGGGGCACCTGGGTGGCTCAGTTGGTTAAGGATCTGCCTTCGGCTCAGGTTATGATCTCGGGGTGCTGGGTTGAGCCCCATGTTGGGCTCCCTACTCAGTGGGGAGTCTGCTTCTCCTTCTCCCTCTGCCCCTGCCCTCCTCCCACCCCCACTCATTCCCCCTCTCTCTCAAATAAATAAATAAATCTTAAAAAAAATTATATGTCAGGGAGCCTAGGTGGCTCAGTCCGTTAAATGTCTGACTTCAGCTCAGGTCATGATCTAAGTGTCGTGGGATCGAGTCCCACGTTGGGCTCCCTGCTCAGCAGGGAGTCTGCTTGTCCCTCTGCACCTCCTGCCCCCCACCTCGTGCTTTTTCTCTCTCTCTCAAATAAATAAGAAATCCTTAAAAAAAAAATAAATAATAAAAAAATTATACGTCTTAGTTATTTAGTGAGACTAATTACATGGAAATTTTTACTTCATGGAACTTTAATAAATAAAAACATTACATGTACCAACCTACATTGAAAATCCACAAATCTGAATACATTTTGCTTTCTCCTAATCTTAATTGTTCTCCCAGTAATACTAGACTTTCACTTTCCTAGGAATGTAACACTTTATTACAAAACTGTGGTAGAAATCTAACATAACAAGCATCTGGTATTGCTTATCTCATACATTTTTTTTTTTTTTTTTGCAAAAGTAAGAAACTAAGAGAGGTACCTGGGTGGCACAGTCAGTTGGGCAGTTGACTCCTGATTTCAACTCAGGTCATGATCTTGGGGTCCTGGGATCGAGCTCCACGTCAGGCTCCATGCTCAGCAGGGAGTCTTCTTCTCCCTCTGCCCCTCCCCCCCCACGCTTGTTTGCTCTCTCTCTCTCAAATAAATAAATCTTAAAAAAAAGTAAGATACAGATAAATATTTATCTCCAGTTAGATAAAAATAGAGTCCTAGTTTATAGGCCTGGTTTTCTAGTTTTAAAAAAGCCTGATTTAATCCCTATAAAATATTATTCAGCTCACCAAAAAAGAAAGTTCTAGGTGCTTAAAAATAAAAATAGTTTCAGAAAAACAACCTATCATCTCCTTTTCACACCAGAAATATTTGTTGGACTGTGTTGAAAAGAAACTCTTTCAAATTCTTTCCCCAAATTCTGATCAGATAGTTTCCCTGCAAACTATGCACATCCAATTATTAAATATTTATTAAGCAGCTACTATGTACTAGATACTCCAGTCATATGGCTTCCAGAAGACACTGTACACTTTTGACCTTTTCGAAGGCCACAGGATGCAGCCTTTGGGGAGGCACCAAGCTTCATCACACATTTGGAAGAACCTGAGGCACATGCCCCAGGGTCCCACCTGCATGACTGGGCCCTTCCTGATTCTTCCCATCTGCCCCAGGAGTGACTGGAGGCCTGGTTCTGAACCCTCACTAGCCCTGTGGCTGGGGCCCTGCAGCAGCCAGGATCCAACAAGGGATTTAATAAAGGGAATTAGTTACAGCTATTAGGAAATAGCTGAGCTGCCAGGAGGGGATGTTCCAGTATCTCAGATATTAGCAGCAGCAGAAGGAAGGCATTACCACCTGGAGGCTGGATAGAGGGTAGAAATTATATGATTAGAGCCCACCGGCAGGTGCCAGCCAGTGGAATCCAGAAACACAGGGGGCCTGTCGGAAGGAAGTGGAAACCGTGAAGGAGAGACAATTGTGGCCAGAGGAGGCTAAGACAGAAAAGCAAGGAAAAGGCCCTGCTTTCTTTGTTTGGCCCTCCAGATTGAGGCCAATACCTCTCATCGACTGATCCCCTCTGAAAGTCAGGCGGTAGGGGGCTAGGAAACAGCCCGCAGGAACCAGGCACCATGCTATGCTGAGCAGAGCAGACAAAGAGTTGAAGAATAGATCTGAGAATGCTGCCCCAAGATTAACACAGGACTGCTATGAGACGTCTTGGGTTCCAGATGCCTACCTGTTTGATAGTTTACTTGCAGCTGAGCCCTGCACACTAGCCAGCTACAATTCCTGTGATCTCTCACGGGAACTCCCATCACCAGCTTCCTGTCTCAGTGCACATTGGAATCACCTGGAGACCGTTTGAAAAAGGACTGATTCCTGGGCTTCTCCGCAGATACTGAATAAGAGTCTTTGAAAGTAAAGTAGAAAAACCTATATTTTTAACATCTCAACTTGATTCTGCTGTAGATGGTCTTTGTACTCATTTTTTAAAGTGGGGCTTAAAGGTGGGACGACTCTAATTCCAAACTTCCAGATCTTCCAAGTTTTCTTTCACACTGCTAGAATGAAACCTGTTATGCCGAGCTGGACTGCAGAATTAGGGTGGTCTCCGAACAAACACACAATATTTAATATATAAAAATAGATTGAACTTTATATTTACATTAGCGCTAAAATCCAATTTTAGTATATGTGCTGCCAAAGCTAAAATCCAAATGATAGAATAATTTCAGTATCATTCAAGGGACACCTGGGTGGCTCAGTCAGTTAAGCATCTGCCTTCAGCTTAGGTCATGATCCCGGGGTCCTGGGATGGAGCCCCGCATCGGGCTCCCTGCTTGGCGGGAAGCCTGCTTCTCCCTCTCCCTCTGCCTGCCACTCCCCCTGCTTGTGCTCGCTCTCACTCTCTCTCTGACAAATAAATAAATAAATAAAATCTTTAAAAAAAGTAATAATTCAGTATCATTCTTATAACCAGATAATGTCCAATATTATCTGTGAATATACTGTTTTTCTGGTTTAAATTGAATTAAGCTTTGGCATTAAAAAGAAAACTTTCTCCATGCTCTGATTTTAGTTAATATAGGGATTGGCCATTTTAGACTTTAGCCATAATCGTATATATTTCACATAGTTTAAAAGGCTAAACATCAGAAGCCTGCATCTATAGAAGACAGGATTCATGGGCACCTGGGTGGCTCAGTCGGTTAAGCGTCTGACTTCGGCTCAGGTCATGATCTCAGGGTTCTGGGATTGAGCCCCACATTGGGGTCCCCGCTCAGTGGTGGGGGGGAGGTTCTGCTTGTCCCTTTCCCTCTGCCCCTCCTCCTGCTCAGGCCCTCTCTCTCTTTCTCAAATAAATAAATAAATAAATAAAATCTTTGGGTAAAAAAACAGAAGACAGGATTAATTTCTTGTAGATTTGGTCCTTATTGTAATTTATCAGTATCTTGTCTATTATTTTGTTTTGTTTCTTACTATAGACCCAGCTGCAATCTGAGGAGGTACCTCAAGGACCACACAGTCCTAGGGAAAGGAGAAAGCTGAGGAATTGGGGCTCTGAGGCCGGATCTAACTTGGACCTGAGCAGATTTTTCTTTAATGTTTTACATATTAGGTTTCTACATACACTTTTATGTGGAAAAAAAAAAAAAAAAAAAAAGCTTTCACTTACTCAGTTTTGAAAATCCTGGATTCTGGACAATGCTTCACATAGAGCAAATGAATAAAAGTTTCCATAACTGCAGAATCTCACATGTTTGATGTTTCTGGGAAGTAGGCTCTTGATAGAGGTGTGATTTAATGCAGCTTGGAGACATAAGTCTGAACAGGCTCATTAGTCTGCCTTTAACTATAGGATTTATTGATGATGATGGGATGAAACTATCTGAGAGCTGTCAGCCAGGAACAATGTATGCATAAACCAGGGGGTGAGAAACCGGGTCAACAAACATGTAGTCAGGAAACATTGTGGTTTCTTAGGTTAACTGCTAATGAATTATTTTAGGTAGAAACCTCCTCTCGCTCTGACATGGTTATTTTTTTAAAAGAGCTTTTCCCCTGAAATCTTAGGTGGCTTGGAATTACCATCAAGAAATAATTTTTCATCTTTGAAATGTTGGCTTATTTCCTTAGTGAAATTATGCAATGTGACTCTGTTTTATCTTTTTCCTACCTTTGGAAAGGTAGGAAAATTGCTCAGCCTTTTTTTTTTTTTCCGCCGTCAGCAAGACACATTTCACACTCACATTGAATTCTGCTCAAGATGTGGTTAAAACCAGCCAGTAGTGTTAGTAGTTAAAAACAGTGTCTCATGTATATAATATTCATATGACTTAGAAGTATGGATTCACTTGGTGAGATATTATGCAGCCATTAAAATGATACTTTCAAAGGTAACATGATATCATGAAATGATGTAATCTTTAGTGGAAGTGGAGGACATAATTACATCTAATGTAATTATGATCATATTTAAAAATATATGTAGAGTATCTTTTTGACATTTTCTTTTTTCTTTATTTTCTTAATTTAAATTCAATTAACATATAAAGTATTACTGGTTTCAGAGGTAGAGTTCAGCGATTCATCAGTCTTATATGACACCCAGTGCTCATCACAACACATGCCCTCCTTAATGCCCATCACCCAGTTATCCCATCCCTCTACCCCGCCTCCCCTCCAGCAACTCTCAGTTTGTTTCCTATGATTAAGAGTCTCTCATGGTTTGTCTCCCTCTCTGTTTTCATCTTATTTTATTTTTTCCTCTCTTCCTCTATGATCCTCTGTTTTGTTTCTTAAATTCCACATGTGAGTGAGATCATATGATAATTGTCTTTCTCTGATTGACTTATTTCGCTTAGCATAATACTCTCTAGTTCCATCCACATCGTTGCAAATGGCAAGATTTCACTTTTTTTGATGGATGCACAGTATCTTTTGATGCAACAATTCTGCTTCCCAAACAGGTGTGCAAAGATAAATATGGAAGAATGGTCACTGCATTGTTTATAATAGCAAAAAGTTAGAAATAACAGATCTTGAGGTGCCTGGGTGGCTCAGTCGTTAAGAGTCTGCCTTCGGCTGAGGTCATGATCCCAGGGTCCTGGGATCGAGCCCTACATCAGGCTCCCTGCTCAGCGGGAAGCCTGCTTCTCCCTCTCCCACTCCCCCTGCTTGTGTTCCCTCTCTTGCTGTGTCTCTCTGTGTCAAATAAATAAATAAAATCTTAAAAAAAAAAAAAAGAAAGAAATCTTCATCAGTAGGGATTACGTAAAGTATGGAACATCCATGCAGTGGAATACTATATTGTCATTTTTAAAATGGAGTAGATACACATATCTGGACTCTGAAAGATGTTTAGATATATTATTATGAAAAAAAAGCAAATTGCTGAACAGAACATATAGTAGAAGCCATTTGGTAAAAATATCAAGTCAGCATATATAACAGATAACTATTAGATATTATATATCAACATTACATAATACATATAACATATAATGGGTATATAAGTTTGCTGTGTAATAGGTAATATTATCAAACTTTTCACAGTAATTATTTCTGTGACTATTGTGGGTTGTCATTATAAGAAATGTTAGTTTCTCCTTTATTCATTTCTGCATGTAAATTGTTTATAGTAAGCCTGCCAATTTATAATACATTATAATGTAATACATACAGTTTATGATACAAAATACATAAAATTTTGATATTGCAGAAAGACTGGAAGGAAATACACTAACATGATTACAATGCTTGTTTCTAACTGTGAGAACCATGAAAGATTTAAAAAAATTTTTTGTGCTGTAGGGGCGCCTGGGCGGCTCAGTCAGTTAAGCGTCTGCCTTTTGGTTCAGGTTATGATCCCAGGGTTCTGAGATCGACGAGGCCCTATCAGGCTCCCTGCTCAGTGGAGAGCCTGCTTCTCCTCATGCTCTCTCACGCGTATGCCCTCTCTCTCAAATAAAAAAATAAATCTTTAAAAAAATTTTTTGTGCTTTAATAACTCCATGTGTAATTCTTTTTTTTTTAAGAAGATTTTATTTATTTATCTGACAGAGAGAGAGAGAGAACAAGTAGGCAGAGAGACAGGCAGAGGGAGAGGGAGAAGCAGACTCCCTGCTGAGCAGGGAGCCCGACGTGGGGCTCGATCCCAGGACTCTGGGATCATGACCTGAGCCGAAGGCAGCCACTTAACCAGCTGAGCCACCCAGGCGCCCCTCCATGTATAATTCTTATCTCATGTATTAATGCTCTACTTTTGTAATTTAAAAAAAGGTAGAAAAAGAAGGCAGGGAGTCAGATAAGTAGTTGTTAAGGATTGGATTAGGTCATTTAAACACCTAAACATCTTCTAGCTTTAATTTACTCTCTTTAGTCACTGATAATGTTGCCTTTTCAGAATGCCAAAAGTGCAATTTGGTGGATCAGTTTCTTTAAGAAGGCCAAATTATGGGAGAAAAGGCATTAGAGATAAATGTATGAATTGCTTTTGCTGGAGGTTTCCACTGAATGTATTCTTACCAGTGTCCTAACCATACAAACTGCTGGAGTCCCTCACAGCAGAGGACACTCGCTCCTGGAGCACGGCTTCTCCATTTGTTTGTAAGGAGCCATCAGTGCATGTGACTACAAGCTAAAGTCAATTTTATTTTATTTATTTTATCTTTTTAAAGATTTTATTTATCTATTTATTTATTTGAGAGAGAGGGAGAGAGTGCGCATGAGCAGGGGGGAATGAGGAGAGGAAGAAGCAGAGTCCCCACTGAGCAGGGAGCCTGATGTGGGGGTCCATCCCATGACCCTGGGATCATGACCTGAGCTGAAGGCAGACGCTTAACTGAGCCACCCAGGCGCCCCTAGAGTCAATTTTAAACAAAAAGTGGCTTTGGCAAATTTCTAGAGCATTAGAGTCTTGAGGCGGTAAGTCCTTGAACCCTGTGATGTCAGCTTATTTCTCAGAAGAGCTCCTAGCTGAGATTTTCCCAGAAATCTGACCATCTGAGGCAAAGATGTAGACACCAGCTCTTTACCTTGAGGATTCCTTTTCTGGTAAACTCTCTTGTGGGCAAATTTTAATATGCCAAGAAAACTTCTGCAGCAGACTTCAGTTGCCCAGGGATTTGAATTCCATAAATCACAGTTCATAAACGGTACCACCCACAGGGGGCTCCTACTAGGACCCCTGTTTTCCCAGCACCTACAATTCTAACTGATTTTTTACCTTTCTAATAAGGGAGGGATGGGGAAGAGGGATCAATAATTGGCAGCCAGACCAAAATCCACAAGTTACCAACCAAGACCCAGCAGGTGGGATTTGCCACAAAACCAGAAAGACAACTAGATTTATGGCATTTGAGTCAGCAAATAGCAGTATCATTTTGCAAGGCGCTTGCCGCTGATGGAAAACCATTTCATCGATGGAAAATCGTCAAATGGCTTCAGTCCTTTGCTGCTGTTTTTAATTGGCAGGCCCTAAGTCTTTGTGGCATGAGTTGCCGAATACATAAATAAAGTCATTTCATGTCATAAAACCCTTTCAAATGCCAAAATTAGGAAAGGAGAGTTGATTCAAATGCTGCAGAGACAAAAAAAAAAAAAAATGTGTTTTTCCGGGACAAAGGAAAATGAGTGATTTAAGTTTGTGGCAGATTTTAGTCTCATTGCGCACCCACACAAATAATCTTTTTTAAAAATTCTATTCAGCACTTGGGTACAAGCACATAGTGTACCCAGGAAGTTCAAATGTCTATTATCATTATTAATACCCTTGTTTTTGTCACTCGCTCATTGCCAAATACAACAATGAATTAAGCCCAAGCTACTGCAGCAAAAGGGTCAGGAGCGTGAGTATCCTAGATAGAAGAGGCCAGGTCAGCTTTTCCGTTTCCTACAGGGCAGGTTCCTTCGCTCGTAAGGATGGCTTCTTGGAGTAGGCTAGCACAGTGAGTCATATTGACAGCTGTCTGATTTCACCGGGTGAAAGAGTTTCCGACATTTATTTCCTTGGTTATGTTGGAAACACTCCTAAGACAGTAGTTACCTGCTCAGCAGTCAAAATAAAAAGGGATCCCGAGGGATGCCGCTATCTCAGGGGCTGTGTTTTCACTCTGGAAATGCAGCCTCCGTCTGGGGTCAGGTGTGGTTTTGTGTTGTTTTCTCTGGGGGTTTTGCACAGAGTTCTCCGATCTTTGTGGGCACATCTCAGTCGGTTCTCAGACAGGAGACTCAAGCAGGGACGCTTCAGTCCCCGAGGTATGCAGCTTTCAGCTCAAGTGGCCAAAGGAATGTCCCAGCCAGGCATTTCTACCAGTGAGGCAAGCTAAGGGATTCTTTCTACTTTTTGGAACGTCACTGAGCTGTGGAAGGAAGAAATGAGTATGGTTTCCTTTTCTTCTTCTTTTTTTTAAAAGCTGAAACAGGAGCAGGATTGTAGCTGTCACAAGCTGACTAAATATTTTTTTACAACACCAAAGCTTTTAAAATCCTTGGAACCCTTGTGAGAACCAGTGTTTATGTTGGGACCTTTACATTAATTGGGAGGGGGGTATGTACGTGTGCAAGTTACGTGTGCACTGTTCTGGCCTCTCCCGCCACCGGGGCTCCACATCTGAGGAAGGGAAGGCGAGAAAATCATCCTAGCCACCGTCTGGAATAACTTCAGACTGCAGAGAAGCCGACTTCAGCTCAACAGCCTGAAAATGGACAAATGAGAATGAGGTTTGCAGCAAGCCCAAGAACACCCTTGACATTCAAACCACACACCCTAGCCTCCCTGACTACCAGACTCGTAATTCTACTCTGTGTCTCTGCTGGGGGAAGTTCCGTGCAGTGTCAGAATTCAGCCAGTAGGCCTCAAAACCCTGGGAGGATTCTATTTCTTTCTTTCTTTCTTTTTCTTTAAGATTTTATTTATTTGACAGAGAGAGACACAGCGAGAGAGGGAACACAAGCAGGGGGAGTGGGAGAGGGAGAAGCAGGCTTCCCGCGGAGCAGGGAGCCCTACCAGGACTCAATCCCAGGACCCTGGGATCATGACCTGAGCCGAAGGCAGACGCCCAACGACTGAGCCACCCAGGCGCCCCGGATTCTATTTCTTAAAGATAAGTCTAAGACCTAGTTGCAGTGGGTTGATTTCACTCTTCTCTCCTAACAGAAGCAACCAAATAAAAATATATAGAAAAATGGAGACTGTGTGGCTTGAAAAATTCACTTTAATCTGATTTATACCAGGGTGATTTAGCATTTATCCAGTAACTGGTTTTCAAGTTGAAACTTTTTTTTTAATGAATCTATGGATCAGTTCCCTGGAACATTCACCAGCTACTCTTTTGCCCTTATAAAATATTAGTCTTTAATAGGGTTGTTGAGCCAGTTTACGTGTGAGTTGACCCTGAGGAAATCTGAGTGTGACTGTCATGTCATGACCATAATTTAGAAAAAAAGACAAAAAGGTTTTCTTCCTATGGTTAATCTGTAGGGTTATCTTTTGTGTGGGAAATATCATTGGCTATTATTGTCAAAGTATAATTTTTTTAAAAAGATTTTATTTATTTATTTGACAGAGAGAGACCAAGCGAGAGAGGGAACACAAGCAGGGGGAGTGGGAGAGGGAGAAGCAGGCTTCCCGCGGAGCAGGGAGCCCAATACGGGGCTCGATCACGGGACCCTGGGATCATGACCTGAGCCGAAGGCAGACGCTTAATGACTGAGCCACCCATGCGCCCCATCAAAGTATAATTTTTAAACAGTGAAAAATGGCTCTTAATACAAACATTTAAGTGAGCACATGTTGACTATTCATTTACCTTGGTAACTGGGGCACCATCAAGATGGTCAAACTGGTTCAGAGGAGAATTCAAGAGACTGAGTATATGTGGTTTAGGAAAGAAAGAATCCAGGAACCAAATTGCTGTTAGGTGTTGTTTTGCTTTTTTTTTTATTAGATTTTTTTTAAACTTCATGGGATGCAACATGGTACAGCCATTCTGGAAGAGAGTTCAGCAGTTTCTCACAGGGCTAACCATACCCTTACCATGTGATCCAGCAATCACAAATGAGCTGAAAAGTCATGTCCCCACAAAAACCTACACACACATATTTATAGCAGCTTTTTTTTTTTTTAAGATTTTATTTATTTATTTGAGACAGAGTGTGCACACAGAGGGAGAAGCAGACTCTTCGCTGATCAGAGAGCCCTACATGGGGCCCGATGACCTGAGCTGAAGGCAGATGCTTAATCGGCTAAGGCACCCAGGTACCCGATAGAGCAGCTTAACTAAAAGGGCCCCAGGCTGGAAACCATCAAGATGTCCCACAACAGGTGAATGGAAAAATAAACGGATATATCCATACAATGGAGTATTAGTTAGCATGAAAAAGAAATGACACAAAAAGACAGGGGGGAACTTTAAATGCATATGACTAAGTGAAAGAAGCCAGTCTGGAAAGGCTATATACTCTATGATTCCAAACATAAGGCATTCTGGAAAAGGCAAAACCGTAGAGACAATAAAAAGATCAGTGCTTTGTGTACACACACACACACACACACTCACATTTTGTAAAAGCAGGAAGAAAATTGTGGAAGAATGCACACCTGAGGTATATGGTTATCTTCAGGAAGAGGAGTAAGACTAGAAATGAGGGAGGGCACAGATTAACTTTTTCCTCTCATATTTTTGCATTATATTATTCCTTGTGTATATACATATTAATTTAATAATTTAGGAGAACAACTCATAAATTAACAAAAACAAAAATTTTCTATATATTATCACAGAAAAAGATCAGTGGTTGCCAGGGATACATGGGAGGTGGGAAGGTTGAATCGGTGAAGCACAGGGGACGTTTAGGGCAGGGGAACTATTCTGTATGATACATGAATGGTGGATATGTGACACTATGCATTTGCTAAATTCCGCAGAATATACAACACAAAGAGTGAACCATAAGGTAAACTATGGGCTTTAGTTAAAAATAATGGATCAGGGGCGCCTGGGTGGCTCAGTCGTTAAGCGTCTGCCTTCGGCTCAGGTTATGATCCCAGGGTCCTGGAATCGAGCCCCGCATCAGGCTCTCTGTTCAAAAGGGAGCCTGCTTCTCCCTCTCCCACTCTGCCAGCTTGTGTTCCCTCTCTCACTGTCTCTCTCTGTCAAATAAATAAATAAAATCTTTTAAAAATAAATAAATAAATAAAAATAAAAATAATGGATCAGGGTACGCCTGGGTGGCTCAGTGGGTTAAGCATCTGCCTTCGGCTCAGGTCATGGTCCCAAGGGTTCAGGGATCAAGCCCCACATTGGGCTCCCTGCTCAGCGGGGAGTCTGTTTCTCCCCCTCCCTCTGCCTGCCGCTCCCTCCCCGCCTCCCCCGCTTGTGCTCTCTCTCTCTGTCAAATAAATAAATAAAATCTTTAAAAAAAAATAATGGATCAATACTGGCTCATCACTTGTAACAAATGTTGCCACTAAGCATGATATTATTAATAGGGGAAACAGTGGAGGTTGGGTCAAGGAGAGAGAGGATATACTGAACTGTCTGTAATATCTGTTCAATTTATCTGTAAACCTAAAACTGCCAGAAAGTAAAGTCTATTAATTTCAAAAAACCTGTTGAATGCCCTCTAGGATAACAAAACCATAATTTTTGAGATTCTTTTTTCCACCCAACAGAAATTGTTTACAACTCTACTCTAGAAAAATCATTTGCCACTTATCAATCTTCTACAAGTTTATGTCTGATTTCACAGACCATGGGCCCTAAGCAATAACAAATAGTAAGTTAAGCAAAGGTGCCTTTCCCTAGAGAAGTATAAAATATGTGGGTTGGCCTGTTAGACAATGCCAGGATGACACTGAAGGGACAGATGCACAGTCATCCTTTTGCCATATTTTAAGTATCAAATATTTTTTCTTAATATTATAACATGTCATTTGCTAAACAATTTTACCACACTCTTGGTTAATCTTGCAAATAAATTTCCGAATTAAGAGCTAGCTCCTTGTATCAGCCAGAGCCCAGTCAGGAGTCAGAAACCATACCAATCATTTTAATAAATGATTAATTTATCTAATAAATAACTTAAATACATAAATAATTTGCCAATTATTTAATATAAAGAATTGTTTAGCAAGTGCTGGAAAACCAGAAACACAGAAAGAGAACATGAAGATATCAACTTCAGGAAGTGATCATCACAGAAGTAGTAATTTCAGGACTGGAGGAACAAAGGGTAGAACCCGGAATATTAAAATTTAGAAGCTCAGGAAGCAGAGACTGAAGGCCTAAGGAGGCCTCTGGAACTCGGAGGAGAGACCCAGAATTACTGGGAGCCAGATCTCTGAAGTGGGGTGTGGTTGGAGGGTATGGTATCATTGAGGGGTGCAATGAAGCCAGTTGTGGGAATGTGGACCCCTTGCAGACTGGAATTAACTGTGGCTACTAGAAGGGACTGCCACTGTCGGGCTGAAGGGCTGTTTGCAGGGTGACATTGACGACATTGGTAGGAACAGGAAACAAACGGGAAGGAGCAAGTGGGTTGTTCCCTAGCGCCTCCTATTGGCAGAACCTATGAAGCGCAAACTGGCAAAAGAGAATTGTGCTTTGCATCACAAAGCAGTGACCAGAAGCCTGCGTTTGAAGCTGGGACAAATGCGTAACAACCAGCACACTGCTCTAACTGGAACACTTGAAATTTATACCTTTGCTGTTATGGAAAAGCATGGGTTTGGGGGACAGACAGACCTGGTTTTCAATCGTAATTCAAATATGTGCTAGTATGTTACTCTAGGCAGATACTCTATTGCCTTTCATTTCTCTAAGGCTTGGTTTCCTTATATGAAAACAGAGACAGGAATACCTATCTCACGGGGCTTTTGTGAAGATTAAATAAGGTCAGGTATATAAATTACCTAGGGTGGTGGCAGAGCCAGGCAAACTCAGGCAGTGGGACTTAATCTATTAATCACTGTATACATTGGCTTTCCAATCTATGTGGAAAACTACCTGATTGGTCAAAACACAATACAGTTTGGGTGGGTGGAGGGGAAGTGTATGTGGTTATTAAAAGGCAACATAAGGATTCCTTATGGTGATAGCACTGCGTGTATCTTGACTGTGTGGCAAGTACACAAAACTATATAGATGGCAATGTGGTGTAAGTAAGCATACACACAAGTAACACTAGGGAAATATAAGTAAGATCGCTGGATTGTATCAATGTCGATATCCCAATTTGTATTACAGTTTTAGAAATTGTTACCATTGAAGGAAACAGGGCAAAGCGTACAAGGGATCTCACTATATTATTACTTACAACTGCATGTGGATCTATAATAACCTCAATTAAAATTTCAATTAAAAATAGTAATATTATTTGTTATTGATGCTGAGACTACCTTCTTTGATGCCCTTACATTAACTGCAAGAAGAGGAAAATATCAACTAGGGATATGTTCATGTCACACTGAACATTTTAAACCATGTTTCTAGGAACACAAAAATGAATAGTTTAAGGTTTTGATGACAATGGATTTAACTTTATAAACATAAGTAAAAGCTATATTACCTCCAAATGATATTTTGAGGGTGGCTCAGTTGGTTGGGCGACTGCCTTCAGCTCAGGTCATGATCCTGGAGTCCTGGGATTGAGCCCTGCATTGGGCTTCCTGCTCAGCAGAGAGTCGGCTTCTCCCTCTGATCCTCCCCCTCTCATGCTCTCTCTCTCTCTCTCTCTCAAATAAATAAAATCTTTGAAAAAAAAAAGATATTTTGAGTCTATATAACTTAATAAATCAGATATTCTGAAAGGTTTAGGACAATATCCCAAAAGATAAATGCCAAGCTTGAAGTGACACACACCGTTTAGTCTCTGACCCCATTACCCCATAACTGAAAGTGAAACATAGCAAAAAAGGGCTCCAGATTACCAAAAGAGTTCTTTTTGGCCCAAATCATCCAGAGATTTCACCTAAATTCTTCCCTTCAGCTTGGGTTTGGACACAGTCCGTAAGCTAAGCTTTAATCATCATTCCAAATGTCAAGACGAAGTGACATTTCAAAGAAGTCATCTGGTTTCACAGATTAAAAGAACAACAACAACTTTTAAAAGGTATATGTCAAAAAGATCTTGCCAAACAGCTGAAGTAACAAATGAAATCTAGCTGGTTTTCCACAGAGATTTATCATCTCTATTGGTGCGTTTGTTCTTAAGCAAGATGTCTGGCTGTTGTTTGGTTTTGGGGTATCTGCTGTGCGACTGTGGTTGAAACAATCAGTTGTTCTGAATCGGCTCCCTTTTCTCTAAGGCTCTCCTGTGATTAAAAACATATCTGAACGAATTTCTGTGCCTCTACCAGGCTTACTAGCTCAAGAAGTGACTGAGTAATAAAAACACAGGGCAGGTTTTTATAACAAAACAAAAACAGCATTATCCTGAGAACACATTACACATCTCACTGTGCCAGATGGTGATGTTGCTTCTGCCTTTCCTTTCAACTTGGAACATCTCTCTCATCATTAAAACTGTCAGAAGCCAGAGAGGGGAAGAATGGAGATAAATCCCTTTCTTGTTGGTTTCAGATCACCTCCCCATCTCATTTCATAGTAAACCGCAAACTTATGATAAATCATGCTATTTATACCACATAATTCTACCACGGAAATAGTCAATCTCTCAGATAAAAATGGCCACCACAAAGGGGGAAAAAAAACCCACCTCTTTTATGGGGGTTGTTGAATTAGCAACTTGTTTTGAACTCTAAACAATGGCATACTATTATTGTGCTCTGAACAGAGTGGGTGTTCCACAAATTCTTGTTAATTATCTGTGATAAGAAGTGAGAAGAAAAAAAATTCACACATGAGACTATCCCAGTTGGAATCCGATGAAGACAAGTGGCTTAAACAAAACCCAACCCTCTTCTTTGAAAATATGTTTCTAGGGCGCCTGGGTGGCTCAGTTGGTTAAGCGACTGCCTTCGGCTCAGGTCATGATCCTGGAGTCCCTGGATCGAGTCCCGCATCGGGCTCCCTGCTCGGCAGGGAGTCTGCTTCTCCCTCTGACCCTCCTCCCTCTCATGCTCTCTCTCTATCTCATTCTCACTCTCAAATAAATAAAATCTTTAAAAAAAAAAAAAAAGAAAATATGTTTCTATTATTGCTTTCATTTTAATTAAAAATCTTCTGTCTGTACAGCAAGAGCTATGAATTATATCTTAGAATTTTCCAAGATACCTTAAAATTGTCATAAGAGGTCAAACCACCAAAAAAGACAACGGAGTGAATTGAACAGGGGAGGAAACTGCATGCATGTCTGGGCTTCTTCCTTTCAGGCTCCCACAAGCTCTATGGAGCAGAAGCTGCCAATGGAGTACAAAGGTCTGCCCTTTGCTGCAAATAACTGTGCTATTCTTCTTTTTTTTTTTTTTTTAAAGATTTATTTATTTGACAGAGAGACACAGCGAGAGAGGGAACACAAGCAGGGGGAGTGGGAGAGGGAGAAGCAGGCTTCCCACTGAACAGGGAGCCCGATGTGGGGCTCGATCCCAGGACCCTGGGATTATGACCCGAGCCGAAGGCAGACGCTTAACGACTGAGCCACCCAATAACTGTGCTATTCTGAGGACATCAAGGCCTCTATAAGGCAGTGAAGCCAGTGCATTTGTGAGCTGAACTCAGTTATAAAGAATTTCAGATTCTAGCAAGGGACTTTCTAGTGGACCATGCTAAATCAGGATGAAATCAGAATTAGATTAATGCCTTTATATAGCGGTATGTCCTGAGAAGGGACAGAAAGCAGGAATTCATGGTGTCCCCTTTCTGATTTGGAACCCCAGAGAGCAGTTAGTTTGGTCCTGATCCAAGCACACGAATTTCCTTCTACTCTTAGTCAACTGTGTTACCAGTGACAGTTGTTAGGATGGGTAGAAAGGAGGCAAAAATTCATGCATACCCATCACTCCTGGAAAACCAAGTATAAGCCCTTTTCTGTAAAAGACAGAATTTTAACTAATAATCGGACAATTCAAGCAAAACTATCTCAAAATAACCTTTCTTCTGCCACTGTGATCATAGCATTCTGGGCCATGCCAGGATATTAAAGTTGGTGGGGGCAATGCTGTTCTAATTATTTATGTAGTCTGCTCATCCCCTGACATCCTCATTTTTGCTGATGGTACAATGACATTCCTATAATCCAGCCTTGAAACCTCAAAGATTCACCTTAAACTCTTCCCTTGCTTGCCACGTGTAATTAACCAATACAATCAACATATTCTGTTTTTTAACATTCTAGCCACTGCCCTCTGAAAATTTATCTTCTAACACCTTCTCATGTCATTCGTTTGCTCAAAAGCTTTCAGTGGCAAACACCTCTGGATTATTAAATAAAAGTCTAAATTCAACCAAGCATCCACAGACTATAAAAATCTGGCCTGGAGCTGTTCTTCCAATCTTATCTCCTTACATGAATTATACATTCCTCCCAAATGAGTCTATTGATTGTCCCTAAAACATGTGACCCCTTCCTATTTCCTTTGCTTTTCCAAGGCTGCGTCCCCTGCCTGGAATGCCCTCCCTTGCCAGTATGAATCACACACCCTGGAGTTCTCAATTTCTTGTGTGGAGAGCTTTTGCCTTCCCGGTAAATGTTCTGCTCACTACTGGACTGCTTCTGCAACCCATGTACTTGGTTTCGAAGAGCTTCTCTCTTAGGCTTAACTTCTTTTTAAAGCTTTGTTATTTGAAACTGGCAGAAAATTATGGAATCCAGGCTGTAGTCTGTTATTGATCCTCAATCCACTGATCTATACATTGTGGAACCTGGTGAACTCTATATGATAAATGGCTTCTACATATGATAAAATTTTATCCTAGTGAAAAATACTCAGATATGGAATATTTTTGTCAAAAGGAGTGTAAGAGACTCTCTTGAACCTTGGTGTTCAAAGTGAGGTCCACAAACCAGCAGAACTGTCTCACCCAGGAGCTTGTTAGAAATGTACAAGCTTAGATGCTACCCTGACCTATTGATTAGAATCTGCATTTTAACAAGGTTCCTCGGGGGATTTGTGTGCACAGTGAAATCTGAGAAGCATGAGGATCTTGAGATCCTACCTGGAGATCCAAATTGTTTGCGTGGCAAGATAAAAAGAAAGAGGCAGGGTAACATAATGGAAATTATTCTGGAATAGGAACCAGAAGTTGTGTGTTTCATGTCATTTACCATTTGTGGCCCTGGAAAAATCACTTAACCATTTGGGGCCTTCCTTTCTGATCTTTCCAGTGGGAATAATCTCTCCCTGTTGTTTCATGGGGGTGGTTGTGAGATTTGAAAAAAAAAAAAATGTGGAAGTGATTTTAAAAACATGTTGCGCGGCACCTGGCTGGCTCAGTTGGAAGAACATATGACTCTTGATCTCAGGGTTGTGAGTTCAAGCCCCACATTGGGTGTAGGGATTACTTAAAAATAAAAATCTTAAAAAAAACCCAAACCATGTAAGGTTTACACATATTAAAAATTTTTTTTTTTTTTTTTTTTAAATATATTTTCTCAGGGGACACCTAGGTGGCTCAGTTGGTTAAGTGTCTGCCTTCGGCTCAGGTCATGATCCCAGAGTTATGGGATTGAGTCCCGCATCGGGCTCCCTGCTCAGCGGGGAGCCTGCTTCTCCCTCTGCCTGCCATGCTCTCTCTCTCTCTCCCTCTCTGACAAATAAATAAATAAATAAATAAATAAATAAATAAATAAATAAATAAATAAATAAAATCTTAAAAAAATACATCCTTTCTCAGGATCACACAGCTGATTTGTGGCAGAGCAGGAACCGCAGCCCAGCTCTCCTGACTTCTAGTCCAATTCACCGTGAGGGAGGCCCCTGTCCGCACAAGTTTAGGAAGGCCCTTGGCACTGCAAGAGGCAGCTCGAACAATCTTTGGAGAAAGGAATTTGGTAATAGGTTTCAAGAGTGTTTCAGTGTGTTAATACCCCACAACCCAGTAGTTTCTTTACTAGAAATCTAGCTTAAGGAAAGAACTGAAGAATTTTAAGTAATTATGTTCACTGCAGATTTACTTATAATAGAAAAAAAACCAAAAACGGCAAACAGCTGGAAAGTCCAATAGGGAATCGTTAAATTACAAGTCATCATAGGATAGTACATCATGCAGCTAGGAAAATTTTAAGGACAACAGAAGATGTTTGATACAACATTAAACCAAAAAAAGAGGCAAATCATAAAATTATCATAAAATTATATATTAAGTAGGATCTCAACTATGTTAAAAAAAATGTGTGTGTGAGGGGGGAAAGACTGCAAGGAAACAGGAAAATATTAACAGTGCTTATTTTGGGGCAGCAGCTTTTTGTTCTGCCCTTCAGTTTTTTCGAATGATATTGACTGATTTTGATCAGGGTCCACAGGAATGCCTAAAACGGATTAGGAAAAGTGATAGTTTCTATAACCATTTGTACAGTGGAAGTGAATTTGTATCTGTTAGTAGTTGCATTTACTTTTTAAATAACTTCTCTCTCATTTTGAGTAGGGGATATGCACACAAGGTAAAAAAAAAAAAAAAAAAAATATATATATATATATTAGTCCCAGTAGTACAGTTAGGTGCACAATATAGCAAACCTCCCTCCTATTCCATCCCCCAGAGCAACTCCCCTCCCTGGAGCAACCACTGGATCAGTTTCTTCTGTTTGCTTCCAAAGACAAAGGCATTTCTCTGAAAAGGTAACACTATAAACTACTCTGTACCTCTGTTTCTTTCTTTTTTTAATTAATTTTTTTAAACTTTTAAAAACATTTTATTTATCCATTCGAGAGAGAGCACAAGCGGGAGAGAGGGGCAGAGGCAGACGCAGGCTCCCCACTGAGCAGGGAGCCTGATGCAGGCCTCGATCCCAGGACCCTGAGATCATGATCAGAGCTGAAGATAGACGCTTAACGACTGAGCCACCCTGGCGTCCCATGTTTCTTTCTTCTTAAATTTTTTTTTTAAAAAAATTCAAATCTTCATGGTGATTGGGTGGCTCAGTCGGTTAAGTATCTGACTCTTGGTTTAGGCTCAGGTCATGATCTCAGGGCCCTGAGATCGAGTCTCACATCAGGCTCTGTGCTCAGCACGGAGTCTGCTTGTCCCTCTCCCTCTGCTCCTCCCCCCACTCTCTCTCCCTCTCTCTCTCTCTCATAAATAAAGAAAATCTTTTAAAAATATTCAGATCTTGGCATGTGGGTGGCTCGGCAGGAAGCCTGCTTCTCCCTCTCCCACTCCCCCTGCTTCTGTTCCCTCTCTTGTTGTGTCTCTCTCTGTCAAATAAATAAATAAAATCTTTAAAAAATAAAAAAAATAAAAATACTCAAATCTTCAGAAAAGTCACAGGAATAGTAAAATGAACTCCTGTACGCCTTTCACCTAGTGAAAAATACTCAGATATGGAATATTTTTGTCAAAAGGAGTGTAAGAGACTCTCTTGAACCTTGCTGTTCAAAGTGAGGTCCACAAACCAGCAGAACTGTCTCACCCAGGAGCTTGTTAGAAATGTACAAGCTTAGATGCTTGTTCATCAATTAACATTTTGCACAACTGCATTCTCTCTCTGTATGTATATAATTTTGATCACTGTTGTTATTGTTACTATTATGATTGCTGAACCATTTCAGAGTGAGTTGCAGACATCTTTATCCTAAACACTTAATTTGTGTATCTCTTAAGAATAAGGACATTTTTTGGGCGCCTGGGTGGCTCAGCTGGTTAAGCCACTGCCTTCGGCTCAGGTCATGATCCTGGAGTCCAGGGATGGAGTCCCGCATCGGGCTCCCTGCTCGGCCGGGAGTCTGATTCTCCCTCTGACCCTCCCCCTTCTCATGCTCTCTCCCTCTATCTCATTCTCTCTCTCAAATAAATAAATAAAATCTTAAAAAAAAAAAAAAAGAATAAGGACATTTTCTTACCAAACCATGATACAAAATGATTAAATTTGGGAAATTTAATATTGATACAATACTATTTTTGATACAATATTATTATCTAATGCATAGTCGAAAT